ACAATGAACCTGGAAAAGTACATCTTTGGCTATCGGCAAATAAGCTTTCAGTAAATATTGAAAAGTCACATTTTGTTCTTTTTCATCCAGTGCAAAAACAAATTTCCAAAAAGGTTATGCTATTGATAAACAATCAATCATCAACTGGAGATATCTTGGAGTTTATATAGATTCAAATATTATTTGGAAGAGCCACACTAACTACAGTGGTTGGAAAAAAACCAAAAGATGTATAGGTATTCTCCCTAAGCTCTGTTATTTCCTAAACACAAAAACGCTACTAAGCCTGTATTATACCTCAGTAGAGCCATTCTTCAGTCAACTTTGCAACATTTATTTGCATTACAAAAGAAGGCTAGATAATAACCTTTTCTGTAAAAGGGAAAAAAAGGAAAACAACAAGAATTATAAATTAACTTTCATATATCTTTTTCAAAATGTTAACAGTCCTTAAACAAATCCTTTTACAGATATCAGATATGAGCACATCAAAATGATAATAATTCAGATCGTCTCACTCATTTACAGTAGCTCGGATGAACAGAAAAAATATAAATATGCCAATATAAGATGACTTTTCTCCTTTTTAAATTTTGCGTTACGTTTTTTCTTTTTTTTTTTTTTTTTTTACAAGATCCACGCAGTATTTCACTGAAAGCGAAAATTTGTCGCAGGAGTACAGGGTGTTGAATGCCTTGTAGATTATTTGGAGTTGCGTTGTTTCACCATCTGAATAACAAAGTTTAAATTATTTTGACTTCAAGGAAAAAAAAATCATCTCAAAAAGGGCGGGGAAGGGGGGGTTTAGGAACGTCGTGGTAACTCAAAGACCTACCACCCTCCCATCCCCAACCTTCACATCTGTCCCTGATAACTTGCGTAGAAATAAATTGGTTTGTCGCGCACACGCTTCACAATAACCAGCTTGCGGTATAATGCGACGTCATCCAAATACTCTGCTCTGAAAAACCTAGGTAAGAAATTACAAGTAGCATTTCTCACAAACAAGATTTGGTTGTCATGTATGTTTCTGCACCCTACTTTAGGGATAAAGTGGAATAATGGAATGAAATTTAAAGGTGTGTTTATGTAGTGATAAGAGATGACGCCATAAACTGAGGTAATCAATATTTTTTCTCTCGACTTATCTAAATCACCTAAGGCGTGTAAAATTAATGGGGGTGATCAATGAAGTGATGGACAACCAAGCTAATTATATTTTGATATAGGATAAAATTTGATGTTAATGAGTCTGGCTTTTCGGAGTCACCAGAAGATGTACAATGGTCATTTTCAGACATTAGAAGAGTCATTTAGAGTTATTGTAACCGTATCTAGGCTTCCTGGGTTTACTTGTGGTGATCTGCATTAATTTTTATCGTTATCAAATATGCGAAAGATGTGAAATTGATTTTTCAAGTCCACGAAATTTGGAAGTTGCACGATCGATCAGTCATCCAAAGATAAACGGAAGTTTTTCCTTAAAATCGACATGATGTCATTTTTTCGCTTTCTGTCCCTTAGTTTAATTTATTTCTCGTCTTGTATTTTATTTCTTTTAGTTTTTCTTATGTCATTCAAAACCAAATGAAAGCTAGATATATATATATATTACGTAATAAACAATGTCTTTTGAGTTGGGGAATCTAGAGCAAATTGCCGGCTACTCCTGTAACTGTACACTATGGGCTGAGTGCAGCCGATAATTCTATCGACAAGTATAGTCAGTATCTAAACTGTGCACCGAGAATCGTCTGGAACACGTTTTTCTTATACCCGTTACTATTTTGGGATATTGGAAGAATTGAAAACGAATGGCAATTTAACCAGCTGCCAATAATGATCCAATGATGGACAGCAACAGCTGTAATGCTACAAGAAATGCAAACGAGAGTCCAAATTAAAAGATCGAAGCTCGAATGAAACGTTGACTCACATCCGAGCACCACGTGTGTCTGAACATCAGGTTCATTTCCAGAACTTATTCTTTTCACCAAAGGAGTAATCGGGTGGTAAATTCTCGTCACATTCTGTCAAGCAGGTAGAAATTGATAAAAAAGAAATTTTTAACCAGTCGGTTTAGTCTCGATGTAATAGCAAATTCCCAGGGATAGCTGAGATGCAGATATACAATTCTACTTCGTTTAGTTAATTTTCAGATATTGGTGGAAAGAATGAGACTCCTCTATCACTAGAAATCAAAGATATCTTACTCCCACTGTACACTTGGTCAGTGGTTTTATCAAGTTATTAGGGACCTTACGATCCGACAACGGCGACGGCGACGTGGGACTTTTTTACTTCCGGTTACGTACTGCGCATGAGTAGATTTCTGAGACGGCGATGTCCCTTCACGCGCGGACGTCTAGAAGCCTTGTTTGACGTTGTGCGAAAACGTGGAAATTAAAACCCAACTATGGCAAATGAATCAAGGTAAAAACGAGACTTTGCGACTAAATTTAAAGAATACTAGTTTGTTTGAAATATCCGAAACGAACAGAGCGTGGAGTCTTTTGTATACGACCACAAACTGAATGGAGAGAGATTTGACTTATTTTGCTTTGTATTTGTTTGTGATTGTACTTCACTCGCTATCACTGAGCTTTCTTATCACTTACTTTCCAACTTTTTTCTCGATCAAAAAAAGAGAACAATTAAGCTTAATTTTATTTTGGGTTTACTAGGAAATAGTAGAGAGATTTTGTCGGCAGCGGTATTAGATTCGACCGATGCAAAGTGTATAAATACTTTCATTGAGCTAATTTTCATTTATAATCGTAGATTAACCTTATTTTACAAGGAACTCACTGGCTGGGTTGAAGAGTTATATCGACGAATTCCGATACCGCAAATATTGCTATATTAATAACTGAATCAAAAACAAATACAAAACAGAGAATCGTAGAGAAGCACGAATTCTTCAGCGTTAATCAAACGGGAAGCATGAGCCAGGAGAATAGTGTCACGGAACTTTGGCATGGCTTTCTAAAAAACTTTCGTTGACTTAAACACGATAAACATCAATGACCGTCGTCAACGTTCTCGCTCGTTAAATTCGTAATCTCAATTTTGGCGGGAACGCCAACACGACGTGGCCCCGCTCGACCCAGACTTCTCACGTTGCCGTCGCCGTCGCCGTTGTCGGATCGTAAGGTCCCTATAACTGAGCAAGCACCGTAATGTCATTTCGAGTTTTTTAATATCGGTTAAACTCTTGGCGTGCATCGAGATATTCGAAAATCAC